GCCGGGGCTGGCGCAGCCAGGGGGAGAGGGGTTATGGGGCAGAGTTGGGGCTAGTGCACCCTCTGCCTGCCCAACAGGGGGAAAGTGGAGGGAGCTGGGGCTGGGGCTGGTCTGGCTACAGCGCTGCCCAACGGCCAGGGGTGGGGAGCCGGGGCTGCCTACCCCCAGAGACAGGGGGGCTGGCAAGCGCAGTGAGCAGGGGGTACTACCCCCTACTGGCCTATTAAAATAAATTTGTTTTAAAAACAACAACTTCTGGTTCCAGTTCCCTGAGCTCTTCTGACATTTTCTATGGCTTTACAGTCAAATTTTCCTGTTTGGGGTTCTGCTCTGATCTGGTGCTGCAGGGCAAGACCCGCAGAAGCAACACAAGAAAGTGATGTCAACAGCGAAATCTGCATGAAGTGTTGTCAGTTGAACAAAATTAAGCAAACTGAAGTAACAAACACAAATCATTTCCCTCTCTCATCCCTTTTACTTCCACTTGTGAATGTAGTAGGAAAAAAAATCCAGAAGTGTGACTTTTCCAAGAGAGAGACTAGCTTTCCCTTAGGCACTTGGTTTTTTATATCTGTTGGGAATTCTGAATTCAGAGTTTATTTTTGATGAAAAAAAACTTTCTTCCCCACACCACATGTCTTTGTGGCTGCCACGCCTCAGTCTGGCCCTCCCTGGCGGCCATGTGAAGAGCTGGGGCTGCCCACTCCCAGAAAGAGGGGGTTGGCGAGTACAGGTAGACCCTGGGTTACGTCAGTCCGACTTACCTCTAGTTACGAACGGGGGTGGGGCGGCGTCGCCTCTGGCGGCGTGGGGGGCGCTTCCCCCCAGCAGACTAGGGAGACGCGGAGCGGCTTTTCTCGCCGCGGAGAACGCTGGGGGGAGGGGTGGGCGCAGCTAGTGCCCCAACCCCCCCAGCAGACCAGGCTTTTCTCGCTGACGCCTGGGGTAGAGCAGCTGGGGGGCTGCCGGGTTGGTCCCACAGCGCCAAGGTGCGGCACTTCTGGACCAACCCAGCAGCACCCCAGCTGCTATGCCCCAGGCATCCCCAAGTCAGCTGCTGCTGAAAACAGCCAGCGGCTGACTACAGGAAGCCCGAGGCAGAGCTGCTCTGCCCCTGGCTTTCTGGAATCAACCGCTGGTCAGTTTCAGCAGCGGCTGACTTGGGGACACCTGGGGTACTATATGTACCAGTTCCGACTTACATACAAATTCAACTTAAGAACAAACCTACAATCCCTATCTTGTACGTAACCCGGGGACTGCCTGCATACCAAACATGGGGTGCAGCCTCCTAGTACTCTCACATTTTTGCAATTTTGAAAACATGGACCTTTCCTCACTTTTGTTTTTAGAAAGCCCTCAGTCATCACATTTTTATTTATTTATTTCCAGGAGGTGCATATTAAAACCTTCCCACATATTTGATGAAACTCTGGCCTAACAGATGCCAGTAACAAAACTCCCACTGAATTTGGCAGAGCCAGGATTTCATCCATGCCTTATCACCCAAACTTCTCAAATATCATTGAACTGTCCATCACAATTATTGCATTATTAAAATATTAAACACGTGGAAACTTACATGTTTTTCCCAATACCACTTTCATTTATTTATTAATGAGCCTGAATTCAGTCTGACAGGTATTACTGAAACCCACTGGGCTGATCTGCATGACTGGCATGTTATAAATCAATGGTTATAACCTATTTAGGAAGGGCTGAGTGGGCAAACATGAAGGAGTAGCAATTTATGACAATAATGGTATCACCTTTTTGACTCACTGACAACACAGAAGAAAATTATCCTGAACGTTATGCATCACAGTGTTAACAAATAAAGCATAAAATGGGGTATTGGTGTCTACTAGAGACCATCAAATCATACTAGAGAACAGGACAACCACCTCTTTTCTTACCTATTTATAATGTGCAGTGGGAAAAATGTTTTGAGTGACATGCCCGAGATTTCATGTTGCCAGCAGTAAAACATCTTTGAAATTTCTAAATATTATAGATGACAATTTCCTAAGTCAAAAAGTGTTGTGACACTTTACAGATAAAGAGAAACTGATCACAGAACTAGAAACTAATTGCAGCTTAGGTATAAGTGATCATGGCTTGATCACATTTATAATGTTCAAACAAAATAAAAGCCAGACCAGTAATATACATAGTTGGGGCTTTATTTCTCAAAACTGGAAACAGTTATGAGCAAGAACAGCTGGGAGGAAGAATTTAATCAGAAAAAATACGTTCATGATATTTGAAAATTGTTTAAGAACATATTACTAGACATCAAAAAACCCACAAAGAGGCTGTACTGATTTAAAAAAAAACTAAACTAGTTAGAGAGGAAAGGAAAGCAGCAATTAAAAAAAATATATAATGACTGTAAGGAAGAGATTTTAAGTACATTAGAAGCAAAAAAAATCATAGCAATGGTATTGGTCCATTATTAGATGGAAATGGTAAAGTTATCAATAATGCATAAAAGGCAGAAATTGTTCAATAAATATTTATGTCCTGTATTTATGAAAACATTGTGATACTGTCGTCATATATGCTACCATTCTTCCCATTCCATTACTGTCTCAGGAGGATGCTAAACATCAACTAACAAAGACAGACATTTTAAAATTATTGAGTCCAGATAACTTGCATCTGAGAGTTTTAAAAGACCTGACTTGGCTAGGAGGCTTGCCTGATCATTATTGTTGAATTTCAATATAGGAACACTGGGAAAGTTTCAGAAGACTGGAAGAAAGTTAGCATGGTACCTTAAGAGGATGACACAGGTTACTATAGGCCTGTCAGTCTGACATTGATCCAAAGGCAAAATAATGAACTTGCTGATATGAGATTCCGTTAATAATGAATTAAAGGACAGTAGTATAATTAATGAGAGTCAACATGGATTTATGTAAAATAATTATCAGATTAATCCTGGCTTGGTTGATAAAGATAATAGTGTTGATGTAATATACTTACACTTGACTTGGAACCACACAACATTCTGAATGATATAGAATTAACATGGCACACACATTAAATGGTTTAAAAGTTGGCTCACTCATAAGTCCAAAAATGTAATTGTAAATGAAGAATTGTCATTAATCAGGTATGTTTCTAGTGGGGCCCCACAGGGATCAGCTCTTGTCCCTAAGCTATTTAACAGTCTGGAAAAAAAGATAAAAGCATCACTGATACAAGTTTGCAGATGACATAAAAACTGGGGGAGTGGTAATGAAGACAGGTCATTGAGACACTACCTCTAGATAGCTTGGTAAGGTAGGCTCAGCCTAACCATATGCCTTTTGATATGTTTAAATGTAAACCTAAGAATAAAGAATGTAGGCCGTACTTATAGGATGGGAGACTCTATCCTGAAAAACAGTGACAGTGAAAAAGATTTGGAGACCGTGGTGGATAATCAGCTGAACACAAGATCCCCGTGTAATACTATGGCCAAAAGGGCTTATGCGATCTTTGGATGAATAAAGAGATGAGTCTTGAAAAGGAGTAGAGAAGTTATTTTACCTCTGTATTTGGCACCGGAGTGACTGCTGCTGAGAATACTGTATCCAGATTTGGTGTCCACAATGCAAGAAGGATGTTGATAAGTTGGAGAGGGGTCAGAGAAGAGCCATAAGAATGATTAAAGGATTAGAAAACATGACCCATAATGATACATTCAATTCTAAATAGACTGCGCTCCTTTGAGTCTAACAAAAGAGAAGGTTAACGGGTAGTCTGCTTATTTTGTATTAAGTACCTAGTAGGGGAATATTTGATAATCAGTTCTTCAATGACTGGAAGTGGGAACTAGACAAATTCAGACTGGAAAGAAGGTGCAACTTTTAAACAGTAAAGGTAATTAACCACTGGAATAATTTACCAAGAGTTGTGGTGAATTCTCTATTACTCCCAATTTTAAAATCACAGTTGGATGTTTTTCTAAAAGATTTGCTGTACGAATTACTTTGGGGATGTTCTCTGGCCTATATTATACAAGAGATTTCTGCTACTGATCACAATGGTTTCTTCTGACCTTGGAATCTATGAATTCTACCATAACTTAAGTAAAATTGAATATAAAACCAGGAATCCTGACATGCCGTCCCTTTGGTTCACACAGCCTTGCTGTTTCTATACATGTTCCACTCTAATTCCTCTGGTCTGTCATGCATCTCATGTTATTCCTTGATTTTACTTATTCATCCAGCTCATAATCTAAAATTTCCACCCCCAAAAAATATTTCTGAAAATCCTTTGAGTATCAATACCTCTTGAGAACCAACTAGCCTGATTAGGTAACTTCACGTTCAGAGACCATGTCAAATTATCCATAGGTGAATGGAATTCAATTCCAATTCATCTTTATCACAAACATTCTGCAATTATCTCTTGAGCGGTCATTTATTAATTTGAGTTTCAATGTATCCCACTAACTACCTAATAAACAAAGTAGCTCGTGATAGAGGAAAGTCTGAGCCAGGCACAATGAGTTGCAAAAGATTAAGGGCTCCATCCTGTGAAGAGCTGCGTTTCTACTGAGAGGCACTTGAAGTTGCTCAACTCCCACTCAAGTCAACAGGAGTGGTAATGCTGATCACAACCACAGGGTCTTGGCCTAAAAATAGGAGCTGATAAGAAAGGAACTAGTTCCACCCCCTTAAATCTGTGTTCAATAATCTTAAAGTGATTTGGAGGGATGAAATGAAAATGTTTTGTTGGTAATAAAAGACCAATAACTGCGAGCAACAATATCTTGTCTCAATGTACAAATAAGATTTCCATTTTCATCCTCCAAACACTATTTTTAGAATTTATTGGCAGCACCAGATGCCTCTTTCAGACACTGGACTTCAGTGCTAGCGTTAAATTTACAGCCCTGTCTTATCTTGCCAGCTGCACACAGATGTTGAAGGAGATAGATCTCTGGGAAAAGCCCCCTAATTGTTAAGAGGACAACGTATGAAAAGCCGTAAAAAGTCACTCACAGCATTTTGAGTATTTCCACATAGCAGCCAAGGATCCTGTCTGCTTGGGTGCTCAGCTCGATGCTCATGGTGCTACAGGTGGGGCTGACCATCAGGCAGTCAATCAGGTTGGGCTCACTATCGTTGCCAACGTTCGCTGTCATCTTCTGGTTGGCTGTGTTGTTACGTTCCACTTCCACATGGATCTCATTTGAAGTGACAATGACCGATTTGAGGCGAGATTCGGTCATGCTGGCCTCTTGAGAGACCAGGTCAGGACTCGTGTGGAGAAGTCGGAGGGGTAAGTTAGGCTTTCGGTCACATTGCTGCTGGCAGCCATTACGAATTTCCTTCAGACTTGGAGAATTGTCTCGACTGCATTTTAAAGATAAACTTATCATGTTAGTCAAACTTAACAGATCTACCAGGGAATACAGCGGGGCTGAGACCATATTTTATGCTAGTCCATTTGATTATGATTCTCCTTTTTATTTGGATTACAAAACTATTAAGCCCAAGAAGGAAAATTCCTCCAGCCTTTATATTGCAAGGATTTGCACTTTCCATTAGTCTCACAGCTGTACCCACTGAAGATATGAGGAATGTTGCACTCCCCTTCAAGTTACGAAGCTGACATGAAATTCATTTATTCATGCAGAACTCAATACAGCCCAGACTCTGATCTGCAGTCCTTTCATTAGGAAATTTTGCTGGCTACTAGGCAGCCAGCATACATGGGGAAAATTACATAGGCATAAACAAGTAGGAAACAAAAAAAGAGTCCTTGATGTTGAATGAAAAAGATAAAGTACATCAGTAATCCAACACCAGGGTCCATTTCAACAGCAATTTTGTGGTAGTCCTAGAATCTGAATGATTAAACATCTCATGACAACAGAGATTGAGGTTGGAAACCAAACAGAGTATGGAGCTAAATTTCTACTACAATTTACACATGGCCTCCTCTCAGATATCTATACCACTTTAGAAATCACTGATCTCCTTATTGTAAGTATAGCTCACTCTATGTGGGAGACATTCACTGTGCATCAGAATTAAGGAACTGAAGTTTACATTTTGAGTAGCTCATTGCACCAGGTCATGAGCTGTTCCTGGATAAAGAACACACAGGCCCAGACTGGGAGAGGCCTCTGTGCAGATGCCTTGGAAACCTCTTCACCTCTACAGGCCCTAGACACAATTGCATTCCTCCCCATGGTCCCCCAGAGGCATGCACCAAAAGGGACGGATAGAAGGAGCAAAGATAGATGAGCATTATATGGCAGTGAGCATCATCTTCTTGAAAGATGTTGCAGCCTGCATACCATCTTTTCTACACTGGGAACACTTTTGAGAAACCTCTTCTCCCCTCACCCAGAGCATTATCATTCAACTTCTTATACAGAGACACAGACACACCCAGAACGTAGTCTGGAAAAGTCATACTAACCTGTTGATAAATTCCTCATAACAAGAATAAATGGCTGCTAAGCAGACAGCTACAAGATTCGGAAGGACCCTAGGATGGGGGCATTGTCCAGTGGGACCATGCATGCTGAAAAATAAAAACAAAAAATGGTGGTGAGAAGAAGAAACCAAAAGGCGACATCACTGTAACAAAGGTGTCTATGTGTGACAACATTTTTAGACATAAAGGGGTCCCCGAACAGGAGACAGACTCAGTGGGAATTTCTGGGGTGAAATCAAACATACTGAACTTCTCAGAGTACGTATGATCACATTGACAACTGGATCAAGTTGTTCCTGAATGTATTTAGGAGCACCGGGCTGGAAGAGACCTCAGGAGGTCATTAAGTCCAACCACCTGCCCAAAGCAGGGCCAACCCTAATTAAATCATCCCAGCCAGGGCTTTGTCAAGCCAGGATTTAAAAACCTCTAGGGATGGAGATTCTACCATCTCTCTAGGTAACCTTAGTAAAATAGTTTTCCTAATATCCAACCTAGACTTCTCCCACTGCAACTTAAGACCATTGCTCCTCATTCTGCCATCTGTCACTACTGAGAACAGCCTCTCTATCCTCCTTGGAACCTCCCTTAGGGGTTATAAAAGGCTGCTATCAAATTCCCCCCTCATTCTTCTCTTCGGCAGACTAAACAAGCCCAAATCCCTCAGCCTCTCCTCTTAAGTCATGTGCTCCAGTACCCCATATCATTTTCATTGCCCTCCACTGGACTTTCCTCGATGTGCCCACATTATTTCTGTAAAGGCGGTGGGAGGGGCAGAACTGGATGCAATACTCCAGAAGTGGCCTCACTAGTGCCAAACAAAGGGGAATCCAGATGTAGCCTCACCAGTGCTGAATAAAGGGGAATTTACTGCAGGACTGTATTTACTGCAGCCCACTTGAAGAAAAATTTCTTTTAAGGTTCACACATAGCTGGGCACTAGAAGTAAGGGTTCTTACTTAAGGTTCTAGTTTTTCCTAGTACTTGGTAGCACTGATAGCATTTCAACACATATTGGCCACTCTGCTGTTATCCACAAGGAAAATATTTTTATTTCTCTTTCATCTCAGCTATGAAGAGGTACATGTTCACAAGGCTGGAAAATACTCCATAGAATTAACTAACCTATGAATGAACTTCTTTACCACCTCCATGCCAGCATTCAGTTCGTTCAAAGCCAGAATATACTCCTGAGTAAACAGCCTCAACCGAGGGCACTTCCCAAAATCCTGTCCAAAAAGGAGATACTCAGTGAAGTCACTGAAACATGCCTTCAATGTATGTTAAAACTGTATTTTCAACAGAGATCAGCCTGGGGACATTTGAATTGATTTCATCATTGTGTCGACATTTTCAAGAGAACTGCAGGTACCACTGTTCATTGACCATACATACAGTTAACTAATAAAAATCATGTCATAATTGTCAAATTCCATCACTCCAGATACACCTTTGAAATGTGTGTACATAAGATGATCTTCCATGTAAAAATGCAGCACTTATGCATATAAGTTCCAATCTGCATATGCACAGCTCTTTTTTTGCACATTCAAGCTCAGTTTTTTGAGACATGGTATATCTTTAAAAAGACATCCAGTCTTTAGCTCGATTGCCTACTAGAGAATGTCCTAGGTAAACTGTCCCTAGTAAGTAAATAATTACATTCAATCTTAAAAATTTCAGCCCTGCATTTTATTAGCTGGTTCAAAGCGCAAAGCTTTGGCTTTGGAAAGTATGGTTTGATACAAGTTGGAGGGAGAAAATGTGCCCAAAGTTGAACATACTCTCCAATATTATTATAAACCCTCCAAAACCAGAGCACTCAGCTAGGAATTAATCTTAATGTCCATGTCATCTGGGGGGGGAGAAGGGGGCGCAAACCAAGGCAAAAAACAAACCAAAAAATGCTTGAACATCAACCAGTCTAATCTGGCAAAGAGTTGAGCATCTCCTGAAAATCAACAGATGTTGAGGATGTTCAGCACTCCAGGAGCCACTCAGCATAAACAGAATCTGGCCCACTGCCTTGTAATCACAGGTAGACATAAAATGCTGTGACCAACACCACCACCACTAGCTCTTATTTAGTACTTTTCACCTATAGCTTTCAAAAAGGCTTTACAAAAGAATGTATCATTTTACAGGGAGAAACTGAGGTACAGATCTTGAAGCAACTCATTAAAGATCACAGAGTCAGAAATATAATTCAGGTTTCCTCACTCCCAGACCAGTATTCACTGGATTTCTGTGTGGCCTGCTAATGTATAATATTAACACTGGGCTCTCTGCTTCTCTTGCTCAAGACAACTTTTTTATATATACACAGATATACTCTGAAGAGACTATTCAGAGTATAAATTCCATAGAGAGCAATTAAGTGCCCAAATCCACTCCAATTAATATCTAACTGTAAATTCTTCTATTACACATGGTGGTAAAAAGGCATGTTGATTTCCAATCTGTAAATGCTAAGTGTGGTAAGCAATTCTCTTAAGCTAACCAAATACAAGCAGCACTCTGTGCATTTTGACTTTATTAGAAATCCCACAAGTGTACTGCATTTTATTTATTTATTTTGGTGGAAGTATTATTTTAAATAGTCTGGAATCCAAGAATAACATTTGTAGAATATTTTATTGAAGGTTACGGCATATTCAAAAACATTGTCATGTCTGGAGAGAGTGGGCACAGAACCAAGAATACAGCCTTTTGGTTACATCAGTTTTGTTAGTTAGTTCTGAAAATTCTTAAGAGTTAAAAAAAAAAGGTGGGGGGGGGAGCTGTATAAATAAGAAACATGAAATGTTTTGCTTGGGATGTGTGCTGTGACCCAGAAAGGCTGTGGATGTCACCTACAATTATAACAGGCAATGCAAACAAGCCGTTGTGCAGTTATAAAGCCATGAAACCCATCCCAAGGATCATAGCAAATTGCAGCTTTGTGCAATAAAATCTGCTTCTGCAAACTAAAAACTGTACTAGTAGCACTAGTGCCTTTCAAACAGCTCATGAACTCATCTTCTCATTTTGGAACAAGACAGGCAGTCCTTAGTGTTGTTGGGAAGCAATAATCAGCTATTGGACTCCACCTCAGATGACTGCCTCGTTATAAGTAAATAAAAATGAGAGGTCAACATTTTTAGGCTTGATGCTTCTGGATTTTCAAAAGCACAGACATGAGTTTAGTATCTCTCTATCTTAAATGCTTTTGAAAATCCCAGTTTGATTGCCCAAAGGTTCACATTTTACATGTAGTGTATGGCTATACTGTGTAAATGTACATATATATAGTGACCAGGCATCATGGCGATGGGTTCATTACAGATAAGATAGCCAATTCGTACATTAGGGATCACAGTAAGCTCTCCTGACCAATCAAGTACACAGAACATCGATCCTTACCATGTTGTGTTTGAGGATTCTCTGTACCACTGGTGTAAACACTTCTATGACAACCATGGACCGAGGGCGTTCTCTGCAGTGCTGTAATGAGAAACCATAAATACATATGGAACCTGGAGTAGCCCTAGCCTTTACCAAATTACTGTATAAAACCTGAGACTACAACATTCATCAATGATATATTTAGGACTGGTCTACACTACAGACCTATATCGGTGTACTTCAACTACATTGCTCAGGGATGTGAAAAATCTACACTGCATGAGCAATAGGATTATACCGACCTACCCCCGATTCACACAGTGTGTGTGAGAGAATCTCTCCTGCCAAAACATACCTACTACTTTAAGGGGAGGCTGGACAAACTACATGAACAAGAGAGCTGTCTCCCATTAGGCTTACACTGTCTTCCTTAAAGCACAAGTGCAGTAACGCAGCATGTAAAATGTAGACTTTCCCTTAGTCATTAGGAGCCAATTTGAGATTTTAGATGCACATGCCCAGAGGGCAGGCTCTGGCCCTACAGGTGGTTAACAACAATGTGGGTATGGTTTTTTCAATCCATCAATCTGACAGTCTTTCCTTACAAGTAAATTGCCGGTTGAAGAATACCCAGTAATCAAGAGAATCTGATAGAAAGCATATATCCAACCGTCAGCAATTAGACTTTAAATTGAAATGTCAATCGGTTTAAAGAAGAAAATTTAAGTTATAGCAGCTTTTTCAAATTCGAAGACTTTTGTTTCACACACACACACACACACACACACACACGACAATGTGGCGTATGTCCCACATCATGATCCATCTGAACCCTCTGGTTCCAGTGGCACTTATGCCAGCAATGGGACATATGACAAGACGTGGCTGTGTGTCAAGAGTTAAGATTATATGCCTGTCTGGCCCATTGAGAACAAGGATCCTACTGGCCATCACCTAATGATAGAAACCAACTGGGATATCAGTTCAAGCAATTAAGAAAAACAAATAAAAAATATCAATGAGACTTCAGACAACAAATGTGATCTTAGTACCTTGCAGAAGAATTCACAGAGGTCAGGCGGTGGGTGATTGTTTTCCAGCAAAGGTGCAATTGCCTTGAAAATAAAAAATTAGCATACTTTCATTTTACTTCATCACACAGGCCAGCCCTAAATAAAGATGTGAAGCATGAGTATATTTTAAAAATCTTTACAACAGGGACCTAGATAAGAAGGTGACTGTAAATTTAATCTAATACTGTGCTGTTGTAGCAGTGTCAGTCCCAGGATATTAGCGAGACTCAGTGGATGAGGTAATATTTTAAAAAAAACATGGTACCTGTCAACATTATATGCAAAAGATACTACCCCATCTACCTTGTCTTTCCATTAGGAGCTCTCAGGATTAAGTCACATTTAGGATTTTAGGTGGTTTTGTTTTGAAACAAAAAATACTACTAATAGAATTGTGGAGTTTTTTTTCTGAGTGTCAATAAAGCAAGTAGGGTTTATTTTATTTTTAAATTATAGGCCTAATAGCTCATAACTGTTATAAACCAGTTGAGCAAATTTCTCTTTCAATTATGCCAGTGTAAATTCAAAAATGTAACACCGCGAAAGACAATAGATTATTTCAGATTTTGCACCAGTGTGAATGAGAGAAGAATTGGACTTTGATTTTAGAGGTATTACTCTAGGGATGAATCTGGCCCATGATTACAGTGGCATTGTCACTTTATTTAAATGGGTCTAAAGCAGGGGTGGGCAAGAGGCTGTCCGTGGGCCAGATCTGGCCCCTGGCCTTCTCGCTGGAACCCTTAGGCAGAGATCAGTTCACGTTTTAGAAAGCCAGCTGCTCTCTACTCCAGAAGGCTGGGGAGGAAGGAAGGAGACTTCTCATGCTGTTCCCCAGCAAAATCTCTCAGTTGCTATTGGCCAATCTCTCAGCTTCATCCCAAAATCCTGCATCCCAGTCCCCTGCCCTAGGTTACAGGGGCCTCCTTCACCCAAACTCCCTCCCAGAACTCATTTTCCCTCCTGCACCCAATCCCTTACCCCAAGCTCTCTTCTGCACCCAACTTCCATCCTAGACCTTGCACCTCCTCCATTAATATCCTGGAAGAGTGCAGCCCTTGATCACTTTCCAAAATCTTGGAATGGCCCTCCATCAAAGATTATTGCCAACCCCTGGTCTAAAATAGTCAAACACACATAAATTGTGTCCTTTTTTATAAGCAGCTAATACTCCGATTTTCTACTAGTACAAAACAGGCTCTGCTTCTTGGGAGTGACTGATTTCCTTTCCTTTTAGGAAGGTCACTACTGTGATATTACAGCTTTTGTGGAGGCTGAAGTCCATAAAAATATGAGTAACTTTACAAAAGTTCAAGGCAGTCTTTTTTTTCCCCTCCATCACTAGGCAACCTGATGTGGTTATGTATGGTAAATATATTGCAGGTCATACCTGCCACTAAGTGTAATGAAATTATGTTGCTGCTGTCTCCTTTATTAATGAGAAAGCTGTACAAGAACAATGCATGCTCCGAACATGACCATGCCTTCAGGCTTTTTAAATCTTAGGCTAAGGGATTTCCAGCACCAATTTAAAAAGTATGATTCTTTAAAAGAGCAGCCAGGACACTATATATTAAACTTCTGAACGACAGGTTTTCTACCCAGTTGGCATTTGGGGTTTTACTAATGCAGTCTCTTTGGCTTTATGTTTTTCTCCCCCACTTCTCACAGGAGTTCAGTTCAAATTAGTCAATCAAAATCATCATGAATCATGACACCCATGCAGTCATAGGAAAAGATTAACATGAACTTCTGGAATGAAAACCAAGCATGTCTGCAAAGAGCTGCCTAGGTTTTACATAACACGGGAGCAACTAAAGCTGGCTATTGTACAATTTCCCTCTCTACAGCTTCACTGTTCCATAGCCCTATGTGACGGCGCATTGGGGTCCCCCGTCTCCTGCACCCTGAAATGGCACAAACAGACTCCACCAGCCAGTAGAATTGAGGGTGGTTTATTGCTCCTCCAGGATAGGGCATAGCACAGATGTAATCTGGTTACAGGAACTGGGGCTAAGAGGCCTCAGTGCCCCCTTTGAGATGGGGGATCCCAGCCCCCTTCCCAGTTCCTTCTTCCCTGCTTTCCAGCCAGGAACTAACCCACTCTCCTCCAGCCCTGCCCCCCAGCCAGGGCAGCATTCCACCTTCCTTTGTTCCTCTCCATGGGGGTCAGCTGGCCAAACCAGTTGGGATACCCTCTTTGCATAGTGACTCATTGCTTGTCTGCTCGGTGGTGCTACGGACAGCAGCCAGAGAGTTAGCAGGTTACCCCCCACTACGTCACACCCTATAACAATATATTTTTTACCACAGTAGTCTAAAAATGGTGCAGAATCCTGCTGTAATTTTCAGATGGACTAGCCTTGCTCCATATTGAACAGTTAGCTACATTAAGAACTCTACTTGAATTTATCATTATAATAATTTGCTATAGCATCTATCCTCCTCCATTCCTCTGATAAATTGTATTGCAAAGCCACGGTGAGGGTTTTATGCCTGCCTGTTGACAAAGATTATCAGATTATAGTAGCTGGAGAGGGAATTGGCCGTTCGGTGGCTGGCATTAAAAAAAAAAAAAAAAAGCTTCGTTGTCTAAGTACATTCCCTAGTGCAGAGGTCCACTTCACAAAGCCAACCACAATCAGCAGTCTCAGAAATGCAGAGAACTGACTGAGTGGTAGAGATTCCCCAGTCAGTGGATCTCTCCGAAACAAGTACAGTGTGGGTGGGGAAAACCTACATTCCTATGCCTGTCCTGTGGATGAACACAGGCAAAGAATTGGTTTGTTCCTATCTGGCAATTTGGAATAAGAATCAGGCTATTAGCTAAAACAAGGCAAGGTACATAGCTTGAACTATGCAGGCAAATCACTGAGGCCTCATAAATATTTAGTAATAATAAAGTAATAAAATAAAGCAAGGCTGCTGCTATATTTGCAAGGGGCTTTTAAAACCCAGAAACTGTATTTCTGTTAATGACTGAGATACAATTTTCAAAATTTGTGAAAGTTTTAATTTTTTTTTTAAATACAGTAGAAACATGTTTCCCTCCCCCAAATAATTATCACTGACTGACCCTACCAGGAAGTCTGAGTTAACCTTGGCACTGAAATAAAATGAAATCTATAGCGGACATCAGAGCAAAGTGCCTTCCAATTTAGAAACTTATCGTAATGACTGATACCAGCTAAAGTGGAGTCCTGAGCAGGAGGTAAGTGCAATTCACTCCTGGTAGCAGCTATATTTTATGTCATGTTGTTTTGCAGGAAGATTCATGGAGCTATGAAATGATCAGGTGGTTGTGAAGTACTAGATTAGATTACTGAGAAAGTCTCCTGGAAATCACCAGCACCTGAAATCAAATTACAGTGATGGGAAAGCAATTTTCACCTCTGATAAATTGTTGGATTTATTAAGATTTTACATTTGATTGCATGAGAAGGAGGACTGCTTTCTACTTCGCTTACTTGTGTATCCAAATAAATTCACGGTGTGTAATCACAGAAAACACAAGAGTGCATTTTCAGATCCCTTTGTATACATGGGTAAAAGAATATACACACATTCCCACACACTTTTCACAGTCTATCCCCGAGCATGCACAACAGCACACTAACCATAGCATAACAAGGGCTGTAAAGGGACAAATCTGGCAGGTGTTAATGTTTGCAGTGTACGACCATGCAGGGAGACAACTCATCCTAATAGTTCTACATACAGAGTTTTACACACATGAATCGGCTCTCTTTTATTGTTATTTATACTGGACAGGAAAAAGGAGACAATAAAAATATAAAAAAATTAATAGGCTAAATGGGTATGACCCATTGAAGTCAATGGTAACTCTGCCACTAATGTCAATGGAGGTAGGAACAAACATAAAAGGAAGCCAAAACCATGGCAAAATAAACAAACCCCCAAAACTTGACATATAGATACTCACCACAATAATGCTCTCGTGGTCTTGAGTGGTTAAGTTGGTATTCTGAAACGGTCAAACAGAAGAAATCAATGAGTTAACCTTATTTGGAAATGGACACAGTTTATGCCCACACCTCAACTAATGCAAATAAACAAAGTCAAGAGTCCAATTCTGCAGTAACTGACTATCAAGAATAAAATCAGGCTCTATTAAAATCATTCCCTTAATGCAGGTTACACGTCACTTACTATCAGGGGCTATGCTCACTTCCATTTCTCACAAAAGGATGTTCAGCCCCAGTAGCAGGGCTGGGCCAAATCCGGCTCGCCAAGCCACACAATCCAGCTCACGGATGCAGTGGGGAGCCTCAGGCAGGCTCCCTGCTTGCCTAGCCCCACCCACATGTGGCTCAGAAAAGCGGCTGACAAGCCATTTTTCTTTCACCACTGTGATCTCGGGTGGGGGTTGGGAGGGGTCCTGTGCTACTCTGCACAACCCTACTGGCTGGTTTCTAGCCAATGGGAGCTGCCTGTTTGAATAACAGCCAGCACATGAAGCACCACACCTCCCCTCCCATATAGCTCGTAATTATTCATACACGCACAAGGCCCCTGCAGCCTGTGCAGAGGTGGGGCGGGCAGGCTGCCTGAGAAACGTGCTGGGCTAATGACCGGGAGTCATCCAGATAAGCCTCCTAGCCTGAGCATGCCTCTGGCACCCCAACCCCTCCCTTACCCAATCCTCTGTCTTCCAATTCTTGCCCTACTCTATATACCACAAACCCTCTGCCTTCCTCCTGCACCCATATCCCCTCAGATCCAGGATCCCAACCCCCTTCCCCAGATCACAATCCCCTCCTGCCCTAGGTCACAACCCAAACTCCTGCACCCCAATTCCCTGCCTTAGGTCACAACCAAACTCCTGCACCCTCTCCTGCATCCCAGTCTTCTGCCCCAGGTCAAAACCCTCTCCTGCCCTAGGTCACAACACAAACCCCTGCACCCCAGGTCACAACCCTTTCTGTCCTAGGTCACAACCCAAACCCCTTCACCCCAGTCCAGTGCACCAGGTAATAAGTGCCTCCTTCACCCAAATTCCTTCCCAGACCCCACACTCCCTCTTGCACTCCAACCCCTTACCCCAAACTCTCTTCTGCACCCAACCTCTATCCCAGATCCCACACTTCCTCCATTAATATCATGGAAGAGTGAGTCCTTCGACCACTTACCAAATTCGTGGAGTGCCCCCCCCCCATCAAAAATTATTGCCCACCCCTGTTCTATAGGATCATGACTCCTGGATTTAGCCATCAAATTTCAGCTAAAGGTTGGTGCTCCCTGATGTCATGTCTTCACTTCAGAATCAAGGGGCAGTGATCAATCCAGCTGAAGTTGATTTACTGCAATAAATCAACTGCCAAGCATTATCCTGTCAACTGGTATACCACCAGAATGAGAATAATTGGAGTCGATGGGAGAGCATCAGTAAGCAGTAAGCAGACCAAAGTACATCCACTTCAGCTAAGTTGTATAATGCCTGAGATACCAAATAATGGAAAGCTGAACTAGTGGGAGGTATTTCTTAAAAATGCTTTCTAAATTTCCAGCTTTCAGTTCCACAGACTGAGTTAATAAAAGGTTTTCCTTACTACTCTTTGCCATGACTGGAGGACTAATTGCAGTAGTTTTCCTGTAATTCCTGCCTCCTAACATGGAACCACCAGCAGATACCACCAGCACAAACTGTGCAGCAACTCAGTAATTTCCTAGGTTCTCTGTGTTCCACAAGGCTCTATGAAATTACAAAAGTGCTGCAAACTTCATTCACCAAAGGGAAAAAAGCTTTTTTTCTCCTTATCACAAATGTACAGAAAATGCAGCCTGTCCTTCACTCCCCCTACCCAATATGTACAAAATTCTAATATGAACAACATTTCCTTCTACTGGAACTGAAACAAGCAGAGAACAGGTAACAAGAGTAACAAAAAAAATTATTAAAGTGAGTAACATTAAATACAGCACAAAACAAAAATGGGGACAAATAATGAAATGGACGATCTTTTTGTCATAGATATGGGGGATGCTAAAGCCTTCAATCTCGCCATGTGAAATTGCAATAAGAAAACTGCTGATGGTTAGATTTATCACTGTTCACATCCCACTGATCTGGTGTGAGAAAGATCTATTCTACTGCATACAAATAGAGCCCCAGTAAGGCTTTGTCTACACTTAACAATTTAAAACGTAGCCGCTTTAAACTGAAAAAGTGTGGCCACAGCCCGCCATGCAGCCCCAGAGCAAGTCGCCCGCCCCAGGAGCAGCCAGGGAGGCAGCTGAAGGGAGGGAGGATAAGGATAAGAGCGCTCTGCCAGCATGCTACATAAATAACCGCTGTGAGGGGAGTGGCTAACAGCACAGTTCCCAAGGCTGTAGGCTGGTTCATATTGGTACTTCAGAGCACTGTAATTTGCTGTGCTCAGGGGGGTGATTTTTTCAACCACCTCAAGCCAGAAAATTATAGCGCTGTAAAGCGGTAGTGTAGACTTGGCCTAAGTAGCCAATGAAGTCAATGGGAGTTTTGCCATTAACTTCAATGGGATGTGGATCAAACCTAGCATGAATGGACTTCTCAACCACGCACAACTAGGGAGCAGGGATGGGAAATCAGCTCAAAAGGCGAAATGTGTTTTCAAAAAAAACACACACAGCATGGGCCACTGAAATCAAAAGGAATTCTGGTGAATATTAGAGGACAGAGTTTTCATTTGAGTTAAAAGTTTGGTGGGGAGATGGGCAAAATACAAACACTTTTAACCAAAGAAAACACAACAGGATGGGTACACCCCCATGTGCTCACCTCTGAGAGCAGTTTTGAGACAATCTCCAGTGGTGCTTGATGGATGGAATCATCTTGTAGTGGAGAGGTTAGCGCCATGTCCACCAGCGTCCTAATCTCCTTCAAAACAACCTCCCAGCGGCTTGGGTTACTAAGCACCTTCTTGTACTTGTAAATCTTTTTCTGCAAGAAAATATAAACAACCACAGAACTACCATCATCAGACTGCCATGATAGGAAACCGAAAGAAAACAACAGCTTCCCAAAATAATTGTTTAAACTTCTTCTGTTTCTTTTGTGTGTTTTTTTCCTTTTCGAAGGGGAAAAAACCTCTAAGTATACAATTTAGTTGGTTTGTAATTCCATGGGAGAAATGGGTTATGGGAGTCACATTTTTGCTTTAGTTTCAGAAAATGAACAGTCACTGAAATCATCTCAAATCATCCCTATTCTTGGAGCCCACTGGAAGATAACAGCAACCATACTCTTTTTAGAACTAAACTTCCTTTTTAATAAAATATAAATAGCATTTACTTGCTAAAGAAAGTAAAAACAAAAACAAAACAAAACAAAACAAAAAACACACACACACTGTCCTCTACGTGATTTATTCTGCATAGCTACATGATGAATTATGATTCTAGAAAAATCTCAGCATTCTTCACCCAGTACTAGAGCTGGTCTGAAAAACTGTGTAGAAACCATTTTCCATTAGAAACTATTCTCTAGTTGAAATCTACACATTTTGCAAAAACACATTAATATCTTTTTGCAAGAGAAAAAAAAAGGGAGAAAATCCAATAGCTAAACATCCCCTTTCAATATTTTTGGAACACAGATTCATTTTTTCCTTTTGAAATTACTTTGCATTTTAAATGTTTATAACTTGTTTATAAAGACTTAAACAAAACATTTCAGTATGGTCAAAGTGAAATCTTTTCATCAACCCAAAACAAATTTTTTTCTGGAAGTTTCTTTTGTAGTAAAGTTCAAAATTTCAGAAGTATCATTCCTAATTAAAACAATTTTTTTAAAAAAATCTTGAAATCCTTCATGACATTTCCATTCTCCACCCAACTGTAGTTAATACCTTAGTCAATGGATGGTCCCTGTGCAGTTGTACATTATTCCTGATAATCTCCATATAAATTACAAATCTACTAATTTTCAACACCACCAGACATACTCCAGCTAGATCAGCAGTGGATCAACTCTTACCTTCTGAACAGCTATGCTCCCACAAATGATTAGAGTATAGACAGTTTTCTATTTATATAGGATATTCTTTGGGAAAATCCTAAAAACCTCCAAAAGCCCCCAAGAATAACTTGATAGAATTCTAGCACCCTAAAACAATGTTGATGAAAGTAAAAATATCACCCCACATGATGTGACTGATGCCTTCAGGTATCTCAACACTAGAGGCCATATGAGCGGAGCAGCAATCGATCCAGGTCGATTTACTGGTTCTAGCATAGACTTGATAAATCAACCGCTGATCTCCATTGGTATGAGACATGCAAGAGGAATTAACAGGAGAGCATCTCACATCGACAGACCACACTGAAGACATCAGGATAAGTAGATCTAAGTACATCGATTTCAACTACATTATTCACATAGCTAAAATTAGGTAACTTAGATGGATCTCTCCCTATAGTGAAGACCAGCTCTCAGGAACCAATAAAGATTAGCCTACACAGACTGTCCTCAATCTCCATTTCAATCCCCAGACCCAGAAGGCACATAGCTTGAGCTGACTTCTGGAATCTTAAAAAAAAAAAAAAAAAGTAGTACTGTAGCACCTTAGAGACTAACAAAAATAGAGAGCGAGAGAATCATGAGCTTTCCCACAAAAGCTCATGATCTTCCCCCTTTTCCTCTATATATAGTTAGTCTCTAATGTGTAACAGTACTACTTTTTTTTTTTTTTAAGACTAACACGGCTACCCTTCTGATATCCTGAAACCTAAACGGCCAACTCCATGAGTTTTTGCTATAGGGCCCGTTTTCCTGTTTACAAATCTGATCCTGTGACTAAAGTCCAGATATATTTTCACTCTGTTTAGAGTAAGCCATATGGATAGACAGTTCCTCAGTTTGTACACAAATCATAGAGTTATGCAAACACACATATACATGGACCCATACGTTTAACAACTACGTATCACATTTATGTTGCGGAGATCTAGACACAAGTGCAGCATTCTCTTCTGAGCTGCTTTGCTGATGTGTTAATCATCATTTCACCCTTTCACTAATACAGCACAGCCCTTCCAGAATCATCTGTCACTATTTGCTTATTAATCACTTATTTCCTGCAGTGGCATCAGCTTCAATATTCAATACAAGAGTGAAATCTACCCCAATTGTAGCAGAACTGGAGGGGAGAACAATAAAGAAAGGATAATACTCCTCCCGTAGCAAGTTTTGGTTCTTCACAATGATGAGTCATGACAGTGTGATATACTCAGGCTGATAAAGTATTTCAAATCCACAATTTACATGAACTTTTCATTTTTATTAAATTTATACAAATAAGAAGGCACAGCAGCCATTCTATCTTGCAAAGCATTTTGAAAATATTGGAAAGTAAAAGACACAGGAAAAAAACAACCTGTACACCTACCCCTGGACATTAAACATATTTCAGATTTTAGAGCAGAGTAAATACCTTTAAATTTGTACGCTCTTTGGAGCAGCCCTTTAGGGCTTCTAAATTACTAAGCACATTGTCATCATTTAATTATCATCATTATAGTCTTTTTTTTAGGAAACATAACACGATGGTCCCATCGAGATTTTATTTTCACATTTATTTAATGGTTCTCTATAATTTCTTTTTCGTTAGACTGGCTACAGCACTGAATAACATCTAATCTTTCTAGGCTGATCAGTCAGCCCGATAACCCTATACTACTAATTTCTTGCTAATTATGCACAGTGAGCACAGCATCCTAAACAAAGCAAGCTTATTCGGCACTGACAGTTTACACCTCTGTCCTAAGATACAAGCAAGTAAATTCAAAACAGAAAGCAGAGGATGACTGAACAGAAAGCAACCAGCTAGGCCAACAACCCAGGCACCCACTCCTGCCCCAGCATTCAGCTCTTCCCTTCATCAACTCCCCCACCTCTCCCCCGCCCCTCCCCCCTCCCCGCCGAAGGTTTACAGCAATGTGGCTTCAAAAGGGTGGGTGCTGTAATCTAAAGGGGAGCTGCAACAGAGAACCCTAATGTTCAGTGGGACTACCTTACCACGCAAAACCTTCTACAGCCGTCAAATTCTCTCTTACAGATATAAAGAAATGGTTTCCATTCAGTGCTGAAGCCATAGACAGGAAAAGGAAGAAGGAGGGAGCTTAGCCTGCCACGCAAGAAAGACCTGTAACAATTGCTGCAGATGTCAGCCGGACAGCGATTAAAAGGAAGCTTCGAGGTTAGGCTACCTCTGCACACATGTTGTGGCAGCTGCAAGCGAAGAATCCAAAGGGCTCTGTATCTGCTCCAGCTTTCCAGGACAAAGGGGTTTAATGTGCTCACATGACGCACTGCTGTCTTTAAACAATATTACAGGACTTCTGAATGATGGTGGGAAATCAAAAGCAACAGCATCCCCAAGAGGCCCTGAACTCTGCTACTCTGAACCTTTATCCATGGTTACGTGGCTGCTTTTGTCAGCATAATGCTATTTACTGCTGAGCAGCTTGCTGAAAGCCTCAATTAAAGTCTGAACCCCATCAGCTGGTTTCCAGAGCAATTTGGTTTGCACCAGTGAGCACTCGGCCAAAGCTAAGCCATATGTCCTCTTTTACCTGCACTGATAAGAGCAAGCTGTAAACAAACATGACTGGGGAGGAGGCAGGGGGTGGGGTATCCTGTGGCTGAGATACTGGGCTTCTCTGGGGTTTGTATGTAAAATATGCCTCTAACAAAACCACCTTGCAAATCAGATGTTAGTGTCACATTTAGGTAGTTTGTCCTCCCTGCTAAGTGCAACGACCCTTTAGAGTTTGGGGTGCCCTGACTCACAAAGCTTCAGGAGATATGGAGGAAGAAAGGGATCTCAAGAAGAAAGGAAGGATTCCTGTTACTGTGTCTTTAAAAGCCTGGAGGGCAGGGCAAGAATTTCCTCTAGGGGTGTGAATTGTGACTGGCCCAGCCCCCTGCATCATGCCCCCCACTAATTCTCCTCTTTAATTGGTTAACGGATTAAACAATGTTTAACCAGTTAACCAATTAAACAGGATTTTACATTTCTGCTCTCCTTTCCCCCAGACAGTAAGGAATGAGCTGGGAGAAAGAGCCAGCACCAATGTTGTCCCTTCCCTCAGAGTAGAGTAAATGCCAGTCAACACCATGGGGAGCAAGAAAGCTACCGAGACGGCTGGGAGCAGAAACCAGCAAAAGGTGCCAAACCCCAGAGCCTATCTGGGGGATATAAAGTGCCACCCAACTCTAGGAGGGAAACTGGGGTTCCTGCCCTCAGGAGAAAAGAGAGACAGAGATGTACACTGCTACCCAGAACCAGGAGAGCTGGGAATAACCTAGATGGCAGGCTTCAGAGGAGCATGGAGAGCCAGAAGCACATTTTATTTATTTGGGACTTTTTTATAACTCTTTTTATTGGGATGTTTTGTAATAAAAAAGCCACACAAAGGGTATTATTGAATCAAATGTCAAGAGTGCCTGAAATGGAGTTATTGAATTCCTCAGAAGGGAAACTGAGGAAAAGTACATGCAGCTCCACACTAACTCAGCAAAGGGAGCTAGAAGGCGGGCATGCCTTATGACCATCCAATCTAGCCAAGCTTCAGTGGCAGGAGTGGCTCTTCAAAGATCATGATCAGCGCTTTGTCAAAAGAGCCTGAGCTTTGCAGAATGTTTATGGCTCCTTATTCTGAGCAAGGACCAACACCCATGTACACCATAGCAGATGCCTGGTGGAAATAGCACTGTGTCACCTGTCATGCAGGCAGATTCAGGTCTCTATTCCCTAGACTTTTCCACTGACTGTCACCACAGGATTTAGGAATTAAAAAAAGGAAAATACGTTCAAGTAGGGAAATCCTCAAAAGAAAAGAAAGGACACCTGAAACTACCCCTACCCCACAGAAACACACACGCAGGCCATATGCAGCAATTTCTGGGGAGTGTGTGCGTGCGCGCTTTTTTTGTAAATA